AAGATGAAAGGCGATTAAAACCAAATATATTTAAAAAAAAAAAAAAATTCACTGCATGTGCGAATTTAGAAGACGGGTCCCTACCCGACATCAAGAAGCTTCAACTTAGTAGGAGCAGAACTTCTACTACAGCAAAACGCAATTAAAAAATAAAAATAAAATAAAACAGGATTTATTGATCTGGAGCAATCTCAGGGGGGAAGTTTCTTCTCTTTGGAAAACCCCGGGAGGTTTGTGGGAGGGAGCCTTTTTTTTTTTCCAGACATCTCTCCGTGTGCGCGGCCTGCTCCCATCTCAAGCCAGGGTTTTCTCTCTCCTGTCCGGCAAGGCGTGTAAGCTGATCCCCTCCTAAGGTCATCCTGCGTCACTTGCCAAGAATTTTTTACACCCAGCCCTCTGACCCTACGGCACCCAAGGCTTATCGGGTGGGATCATGCCGTCTCCCAGGCTGACATAACCTAATTCTCTCCGGGGCCTCTCCTGCCCTTCCCTGGGGGAGGAAAAAAACAAACGGTGGGGGCTGGAAACAAACCACGAAGGCCTCTGAGGTGCAACAGGAATACAGAATGACAAAAGAGTTGGAAGGGACCTCGGAGGTCGTCTAGTCCAGCCCCCCTGCTTAAGCAAGAGACGTATGCCGTTCAGGACAAAGGGCTGTCCGGTTCCTTCTTAAAAAACCTCCAGAAATGGAATGAGAGAGGAAGGGGAGGGAGGGACGGAGGGAGGGAGGGAGGGATAGCAGAATAACTGAGTTGGAAGGGACCTCGGAGGTCGTCTAGTCCAGCCCCCCTGCTTAAGTAAGAGACGTATGCCGTTCAGGACAAAGGGCTGTCCGGTTCCTTCTTAAAAAACCTCCAGAAATGGAATGAGAGAGGAAGGGGAGGGAGGGACGGAGGGAGGGAGGGAGGGATAGCAGAATAACTGAGTTGGAAGGGACCTCGGAGGTCGTCTAGTCCAGCCCCCCTGCTTAAGCAAGAGACGTATGCCGTTCAGGACAAAGGGCTGTCTGGTTCCTTCTTAAAAAACCTCCAGAAATGGAATGAGAGAGGAAGGGGAGGGAGGGAGGGAGGGAGGGATAGCAGAATAACTGAGTTGGAAGGGACCTTGGAGGTCTTCTAGTCCAGTCCCCCCGCCCAAGCAGGAGACCCTACACCATTTCAGACAAATGGCAGTCCAGTCTCTTCTTAAAAGCCTCCAGTGATGAAGGACCCACAACTTCTGGTGGCCAGCTGTTCCACTGGTTAATTGTCCTCACTGTTAGGGAAATTTCTCCTTAGTTCTAAGTTGCTTCTCTCCTTGTTGAGTTTTTATCGATTTTTGTTGCTAAGTGAAACATTTTTAAAGTGAATTTTGCCTCGTTCCTTCTTAAAAAAAGTACCTCCAGGTAGTTTCCCTCCTAGCACTGATGACGTTCCCTAGTTGGGTCATGAAACGTCTGCAAGAAAACCACCCAGCTCAGAGAACACCAAAGACCTCAGATGTGTCCTCCAACCCCTCCTCCTTCTGGCACTGATCGTGTTACCTAGTCTGGTCATGAAACGTCCGCAAGAAAACCACCGAGCTCAGACAGCACCAAGGACCTCACTCGTCATTCCTTCTCCTCCTCCTCTTTGTAACAACCCCCTCCTACCACTGATGATGTTCCCTAGTTGGGTCATGAAACGTCCACAAGAAAACCACCGAGCTCAGACAGCACCAAAGACCCCAGAGTTTACCTTCCGCTTCCCCTTCTTCTCCTCCTTCTCCTCTTCCTCCTCCTCTTCTCTATTCTGCAAACGCCCCTCCCTTCTAGCACGGATGATGCTACTCAGTTGCGTCACAAAATGTCTGCTAGTAAACCACCAAGCTCAGGGAACACCAAGGACTCCCACAGTCCTCCTTCTCCTCTTGCCCTCCCTTTCTAACACTGATGATGTTCCCTAGTTGGATCACGAAACGTCCACAAGAAAACCACCGAGCTCAGAGAGCGCCAAGGACCCCAACAAACCAACCCTGAGCTGCGAATATTCTCTTCGGTACGATATAACCAACGTACAAAATGCACTACTACTTATATGCCGTGGACCCAGAGGAAGAAACGTTCTCCTTCTTTTCAAAATGAATCTTCAAATTTGAGCAAAACCAGATTTGGAAGAAAGCAACCTCACTGTCCAACCCCCTTATGCCCCCCCCACCAAAAAAAACCCCCAACATTCCCTGGGGATTGAGCTTTTTCTTCCTTCCTGCTTTACAGTAAGTCCATAACGTGAATCAGTGTTTCAAAACTTATCTTGGTTTGGACACAAGAGGGGGAAAAAAGGGGTAAGCCAATCATCCAGCAAGGAGGGGAAAGTAGGATTTAAGAAAAAAAAATTCAAGGCAAAACAGGAGGAGGAGGAGAGGGGGAAATGGATGCCCGTGAGTCATAAATGAGAGAAAGAGAGAAGAAAAAAAACCCCAACAACCCCAAACAACCTCAAAAGTTATCTGGAACAGTTTTGAGACATTTCTGGTCGTCTGGACAACGAGGATTGGCTCTCTCCAAGTTCTGAGGAGATCCAGTTGTGCAAATGACACGCACATCCACCGCTTTGCAGCCTCGGCATTTCCTGGCAGCCGAAAACCCGCTTATCAAAAGTTTTTTGGGGGTTTTTTGGGGTGGGGTGGGGTGGACTGCAAAGGCTGGACACATCCCTTAATATATTTTTTTGCATCCTCGCCAGCCAAACTCCTGAAAAGTTTTGAGGGAATTCAAGGTTTCCAATGAGGCTTGGAGTGAGCAACACCTTCCAACACTTTTTTCTTTTTATTTTGTGAAGGTATTGAAATTCAAGAGTTGGCCAGCAGCTGGAAGGCTGATGCAATGTTATGGCTTATGCAATAAGGATGAATCGGCCTAGCATGGGTATTGCCCGGTGGTGGGATTCAAAGATTTTTTTTTACCACCGTTTTGGTGGGTGTGGCTTAGCGGGCGAGCTTTGCGCGTATGCACACACTTGGTGTGCAAAACGAGCACTTTGCGCAGGCGCAGAGGTGTTCCAACTCGCCACCTGCAAGCCTGCACTCTCCCGGTCGCTTCAGCAGCTGCTGCGCGACACTCTGGAATACCGCGCAAAGCAGCTGCGCTTCAAAGGCAGGGAATTAAGGTGAGCATGGGAGTCCGGGCAGGTGGGTGGGCCCAACAACAGAGCGGGGGAAGAGAACCAGTTTGGTCTCCACTGCCCAATGCCGCTATCAGCTCAGCCAAACCGGCAGAATACCACCACTGGTATTGCCCTTTTAAGACGAAGAATGGGTCCACACAGAAGTCTTTACCTCTTTAAGAGATGTCTATATAAAGGTAGCCATTAGAGGGCGTGCCCTCTCTCCTTGTGTCCTGTATCCATTACAGAGTTCTCAGTGTAGAGTTAAGAAGAGTGATTGCTTGTCGGGTATTTTGCCTACCACACATATTTCTGTATATAACTGTCTTGTAGATAAACCACTGTTAAATGTTTAAGTCTCTGCGTACTGCGTTTTGCTCCTGGGTTGTCTCATAATAATAGTCACGCTGCAACCGCTCTGACAAATTTTAAAACTGGGGGTCCCCAACCTGTGGATGTGGGACAGTACCGGGCCCGGGCATGCTGGAAACCGGGCCATGCAAACAATTGAAGCCCCATTCGTGGAATGCAGGGAACACATGAAACAAAGTCCCCTCCGGTCTATAGAAAAACCTCTTGCCACGGAACTGGTCCCTGGTGCTCCAAAAAGTTTGGGAGCTGTTGTCTTAATTCAACCCAAAACGTTTTAGAGAATAATAAGAGTTGGAAGGAGCCTTAGAGGCCTTCTAGTCTGACCCCCCCCCTTGCTCGAATAGGAACCCTGTTCCATTCGGGACACTTTCTTCTTGAAAGCCTCCAAGGGTTGGAGACAACTGGGATGGGTGATTGGGATGCCTCCAAGGAAAAGGATAAATACAGGTAGGTCTCGCTTTATGACGGTTCATTTAGCGACCAAATTCCATCAGCAACTGAGAAAAGGGGCTCGTGACCGTTTTTCACCCTAACGACCATGGCAGAGAGCCCGTGATCAAAATTCAGACACTTGGCAACTGACTCGTATTTATGACGGGTCGCAGTGTTCCCGGGGGTCGCGCGATCCCCTTTTGGTGACCTTCCGATGAGTAAAGTTCACGGGGAAGCCGGATTCGCTTAACGACCGTCTTACGAACTCAACAACTGCAGTCATTCTCTTAACAACGTAACAGGCAGGAAAGGTCATCAAAGGAGGCACAATTCACTTCACGAGTGTTTCACTTTGCAACAAAAATTGGGGCCTCGATTGTAGAAACAAATCAAGGAAAGAAGCAACCTGGAAGCAAGGAGAAACTTCCTAAGAATAAGAACAATTAACCAGTGGAACCGCTTGCCACCAGAAGTTGTGGGTGCTGCAACACTGGAGCCTTTCTAAGAAGAGACTGGACAGCCACTTGTCTGGAATGGTATAGGGCAGTGGTGGGTAACCTTTTTGGGGCTCCTGTGCCAAAAATTGTAGGTGCGCTTGCGCCCGCGCGCCAGCACCCAGAAGGCAATGTGTGTG